ACAGAGACAACGCCGAGACGAACAATGGCATTGGAAGTTCCTGCAAATGAATAAGCATGATCTTCTTGTGCATCCGAACCAATCAAACTTTTACCTTGATGCATGATTCTAAAGGGAGGAATCTTTGAGGTATCAACTTGTGTAAATGCAATATATTTGCTATCGAGCGACCACCAGTACCCATTTTTCCGATCCATTTCCTCCTGAAAAAAACAAAATTTTCCAGCTATATAATCCAAAAAAAACGAAGCCACACGTCGTTTCAGATCACTAATTATTTCTACTCTCTTCCATTAGAAAAAATTTCATTTCCTCCGGCTGCCAACCAAGAAAGAATAATTCTTTTCAAGATTCAGTGTGAAAAGCAGATGGTGGTATCCTCACCTCAGCTATATATTCTGCAATTCCATGCTGCAGTTTGGAAAAAAAAAGTGTCAGATTCTAGGGGAGAAATAAAGAGACGAAATGTTAAAAATTTATGTCATACTTAGTACACTGTCATGAACTTCTTCAACCAAGACGTCAACCGAAAACCTAACCAACTTGCTCTTCCTCTCAGAAGAAGAACCCAAACAATGGTAAAGGAAAGCTTAGAAATGCTAATTACTAAACTGTAAATACTATAAACGGGTACGCAAGCACAAATGATGTAACAGCTCAAGCCCACCGCTAGCAGATATTGTCTTTTTTGGGTTTTTCCTCGAGGTTTTTAAAATGCGTATGATAAGGAGAGGTTTCCACACCCTTAAAAGAAATGTTTCGTTCCCCTCAACAACCGATGTGGGATCTCACAATCTACCCCCTTTGAGGACCCAATGTACTCACTGGCACATCGCCCGATATCTAGCTCTGATACCATTTGTAACAGCTCAACCCCACCACTAGCAAATATTGCTCTCTTTAGGCTTTTCCTTCCGAACTTCCCCTCAAGGTTTTTTAAAACGCGTCTGTTAGGGAGAGGTTTCCACAACCTTAAAAGGAATGTTTCGTTCCCCTCTCCAACCATGTGGGATCTCACAGATGAAGAATGAAAGGACAACCAAGCTCTAGGATTCTACTTCCTAAAGTCCAACTCACTCCATTTGCTACAACATGTCACGAGCCGAAAGTAGACCGATGAAAAAATTAGCTTCAACAGAAAACTAGAGTTTACAAACAATGGCTGTAGATTTACCGAAATGTTTCTGCTAGCACCAACAGTCAACTGTCTCACTTCAAAGCATGTTAGATTCATGACATGAAGCTCCCCATCTTTAACGAATGCAACCATGGACCCATCTGGTGAGAGATGTGGATCCATGATTGGTGAAGAGGGTTTACTGGAAAGCTTAAGCTCTGGCGTTGAGCCAAGAAAATCCTGAATATAAATCTGCATAGAAGGAGAACGTCAAGTATATCGATATTGTATGATAATAAGTTGTAGTGCCTGTACTTCATAAAGAAGAAATCGTTTACGATTATCATTATTATTTCAATTGGATGCAAAATCAATGAATAAATGGTTTGCTTCAACGACCAGAAACTAAGTTTCTTAATTTCAAATAGTATTTTGACAAAAACGATTAATAGTATGACAACTTCAAAGAGATGAAGTGCTAACCCCAGCAGGCAGAGGCACCATAATTGCTTTCTTTTTGGGGCTCGTTTTCACCCATTCATACCGGGTTACTCCCAAACCACGTTCCCTCAATCTTTCTCTCCTCAATTTCTCTTCGGGTGAAATGTTACACTCATCCAGCCCACCATCAGGAGGACTGAAAATCAACTCCTGTTTGCAAGTTTTGATATCAAAAGCAAAAACCTTCTTATTTAAGGTAGAATCAGGACTAAACAAGTAAGTGATAAAACTGTCGTCTGGACTGAAAGTAATCAAAGTGGGGGCAACATATCCTGGCAATGGATATTGTACAATCTCTTCAACTGGGAAAAGAAAGGAGTCATCTAAACTCTGAGCAACACTCGAGTGAGTGACGGTCATGTTGTATGGAGGTGGCCTTGAACGCTTCAAATTCTTTGGCTTAGTGTCCTCATCAACCGATTGCATTACACCGAACATACTGGATTACAACCAAACAGAACATTACCAGAAGATAGAAGAAACAAATAATCTAAGAAATGGCAAATGAACTTTAGTAAATATGGTTGGCTTTTAATATTATTATTCATATGATATGAAATCATCCATACATCCGTCAGAAGAATGAGAGAAGCAAATAGGGGAGGGAAGGCGATCGAAAGAACAACTGATTGAGATTGATACAGGGAAGCAAGAGAAGGTTGCACAGAATTTTCAGATCAAGAAACCTTGGAAGGTAATATCAAATATAAGGGCTCTAAATGAGCTTAAAACACATTTTACTCAAAATCTGATACAGGACTATTCAATCATTAAAACTACAATTTCATAGATTATTGTAAAATTGTTAGTCGCCATAGATACGAGACCATTCAACGTTTTGAATTACGATTTCATAGAGCTAAAAACTCGCGCTTATCATAGAATTGCTCGAAGGAATCATGTAATATTCAAAGGTCACATGATAGTGTAAACCTACAAGCCAATCTCAAGATAAGATAGATACCTTAGAAAAATTCAGTTTCAGATAGAACATGCTTCTCCACAACCTATATCAAATGAAACGGATTAAAGATTTGTAGTTCCAGCAATTTCACAGAAAAGAAAACGAAAAACAAAATCAAGGACTGTTCTTAACAAATCATTACATTTTAAGATGCTCCCCAAGAATCAAAAGGGTAAGGGGATCATCCACAGGATCCAATCGCATGTAATGCAACTTCACCCAACACTTTTTTCAGTAGAACAAAATCCACAAGGAATAAGAATCCTAGGAACGAATGATGAAATCATAAACTCAACATCAAAAGTAGAAGCACTTTTTTGTCAACGCCTCGATTCGAACAAATCGATCAGACCTGAAAAGCAGACGAAAACGATCAATCTCAAAAGCGATAAGAATTCAGATTCCGGAACTAGATTCCTCGAAACAGTAATTTCCTGAAAAAGAAGAGATCGGAAACGTAGATATTTTGGGTTAAACATTTGACCATCCAAATTCAAAACCTAGAATTCGAGGACCAACAAGAAACACATGATTCCAAACAGTGTAAAGTTCCACAGATTTATCAAACACAAAGCATAAACATCCACAAGAACTTGTAATCGCATGCGTTAAAGTGAAAACGAACCACTTGGCCTCGACAAAAGGGATTGAACAGGACTTCATTTGAGTGAAGGGGAGTAATGGTAATGCGGGTTTTGACGTTCTGGTTCGAAAAACAAAAAGAATTAAGCATCATCATAATCCATGGCGATTAGAAAATGAACCGCAGAATTGAAATTCCACAAGGGGAGATGGAAAATGAAGTGATGAATCCACTCACCTCTGTGTTTCTGTCTCGTTCTCTGTGCCCATCATCTCTTAATCCATCATAATCTCAAGATATAAATAAAGAAAAATTCCCCTTTCTCTGTTTGTCTCTTTCCTTAATCTCTAATGTAAACAAAAACATAATACAAAAGAGAACTTCCCCCACAAGTTTTTGCTTCATTGAGTAACAGCACAACGAAAAGGGAGACAACAATAGCAACTCCAAACTCTGTGGTTATATGCTAACCAAAAGGAAGCTCCAGTTGTCTATTAGCTTATAACATTGTTTTTTTTAAAATTGTTTTCTAACATATTTACTCGTTCACATTTTTCAAAATAGTTCTCTCAAATGTAACTCTAGTCTCGAGCATAAACTGATATTGTCTACAAAGTACAAATTTAACACGACGACTTGCTTTTTTAGGTTAGGACAAGTGTGTACAATAGTTTTTCCACTGTTGTAATAGTGCAATTGTGATCGGTGGTATATGTATATATATATAATTTTTATTTTTAAATTTTGTGGTTTTTTAATTAGTATTTTGAGTAAATTTTAAAATTATTTTTCCCAATTAATTTGAAGTATTTTGATAGGGTATACCTAAATTAAGTTGTTCATTTTTTAAATTATTTTAAAAAAATTATACTTATTCACAATATATATTATATTAATAACTAAAATTTTATAAAACTTAAATATCAAACGTTTATAAGTCACAAAACATAGGTTACAAATACCAAATATTCTTAATTTTTTTATAATAATTTTAAAGGTAAGATAAGTTTGTAAATCTTTTTTTAGGGTTGGTCCGATTGACTAGACCAATAAAATTCTCGGACACAACTATTTTTTTCGATTTTTCAAGAATTCAATTCAATATATAACGAAAAAAAAAAACACAAAAAATAACCTGAATTATTCGGATAATTAGATACGAAAAAATTCACCAAAAATCATATATATTAAAGAAGAGTTTTCACCCATCCACCATTTTTACTAGGCTTCTATTTTTCTTTTTTTTTAAAAAAAAAAAAAAGAAAATCATTTTCCTTTATATAAAAAAGTTGGATTCATATTTAAAAGTCAAAAGATTTTGGCACGTGTTTCAATGATACACGTAAGGCCAAAAAAAGCCCCATTACATTATCTTTCCATTTTCTTTAAAGCCCAATTAGAGATTTTCCCCTTCAAATTAATATATATATATATATGTTTGTAAAAAGATAATGTGAGGAGTGACATGAATTATATAATATATGATACAACCTTACTTTAATGACATGTCAGAGACAAAGGATCTCAAAAATAAAAAAAATCTTACAAAGTCCAACAAGGCTACACCACGTGGATTAAAATTTGTCCACGTCCTTTAGACTTGACAGTGACTCTCGATTTGATTTTGTAAGGAGATAGCTATTTATTAAATATGACTTTTTAATATATGATTTTGGATCACAACACTCATTCTTTAATGTTTATGTTCACGTGAACAAAAATTTGTAGGGAGAAAAAAATAAAAAACTTGTTTTTCTATCACAATTCCAATAGAACACAAATATTTGACTTTTTAATCGGGAGAATATGACTTGACAATTTAAACTATGCTACGGAAACTTTTAACACTTAACGATCATAATGGAGGCTTTTCTTAACCTACAACAAAGTTGACCAATACAAACCGCCATCCAATGCAAGAGAGCCATTGTCTCTTCAGTTAAAGAGTCCGACGACAAAGATCCATTAGACTTCTTATTCGGGAGAATATGACTTGACCATTTGAACTATGTTACGCTAACACTTAACGATCATCCAATGCAAGAGAACGTTGTCTCTTCAGTTAAACAACATTAGTTTCAATAAATCTGGACAGTGAGCACTAAAAAAAATGCCTAATCTAGTGAGGAACTACAGATGCCACAGCCTCCTATTCCATTTCCTTGAAATTCTTCAGCTAAACCATAAGATAAGATATTTACCTCAAAAATGAAATAGGAAGCTTATGCATTTTCTCAGGTTAAAATATTGCAGCTGACAGCTCCTTTCCCCAAGTTGTTCACCGGAAAACTTGGTGTTTTCTACAGCAAATTTCATCGTGGTGTCAGCCTCTCCGGCTTGACTGAGAGTTGTTGCTGTCATTTCACAATTAAAATAACATTCAGAAATACACCACTGTTGAAACTAAGTTTGGACTCTATTTATAAATATTTTCAAAATATAAACAATTATGAATTCAAATGTTTACAGAAAACAAGCAAACTTTTCAAAGAAAAACTAAATGGTTCTCAAACAAGATTTATAATTTAACCTATATTATCATAAGCTATAACACTAAATTTATAATTTAACCTATATTATCATAAGCTATAAACAGATTTTTGTGCAGGGTATTTTGCCTTATTCTCAGATTTGTTGAGTTCGTTGAGCAGGCACGCTAATTTAACAGGCCCTAGCCAAGCGACATACACTAATTTAACAACATGCTGACGTTTTCAATATTATAGCAGTCAACAACCATGTTCTTTCGCAGATGTCGATTTTTAACATACTGAAGAGGTTCAGTCTGTCGGGCCAATTTATAACAGGCTCCTAGTGCATTCCGAGCAATTGTATTTGAGTAAAAGGAGTGGCATTATAAGCATCAAAGTTGATCTTTGAAAGGTCAGGTCATAAGATTGAATTTCCAGATGAAATTACAGTTATTTTCCAGTGCAAAAGAATCACAAACATTCATTAATAGAAATTTTGAAGGCCATAAATGATTACACCAACGAAAGTAAATTGTGAATTGGCAGAGCAGAGAGTTACAAGCATCCCCCCAATTCCAAGACCTCGTCGTTGCAAATCAAGAAGTTCCCATGTGGGAAAATTTTCTTGGCTGCAAATTAGACAATGTCAAGGCTAGAATGGAGAAGCGGAACTCCCTATTTCCAAATCAGACCTCTTTAAATGTCAAGGCTGGTAGGCTCACATTCGCTCAAATCATACCTCTTTAAGCACCCCCCCAACAATCGTCTCTTCAAAATTTCAGTTAATATGGACAAAAAGAAAAGTTATGGAAGGATTTCATTTGGAGGGAAGCTAGAGATGATATAAGGCTGTCACTTGCAAGTTGAAGATATTCATGAAGAGCTAGCAATTTCGAGGAAGATTATTAGAAGTATAATATGGATTCACAAGTTCGGAATCACAGAAGTTCTTTAAGTCAACGAAGGTGGCTGCTCTTAGCCAGATATAATTTGCAACCGAGAGCTCCTTTGTAAGACCTATTGCTTAAAAGACTTGGAAATGGACAAAAAATCAGATGATCAGAAGACAATAGACTAGAATCCGCTCCCTTCTCCACTAATTCCAGCTATTTATTCAACCTCTAACAGTAAGGGGGAGTTGATCATTTGAGATTTAAAACTGAAATTTAAGACTCATAAGAGTCATTTTTGATATGGAGGTGCAAACTGGATTCGCTGCTATAAGAATAGGGCCAGCTAAGAAGATTAAATTATTCACATTGTTATTTACACGCAAGAGCTTCAATACGCAAGATAAGAACAGAGAATAGGATCCCAGAAAGAAATCCTTATTATGCAAAAGGATGAACCATTTATTGTAATTTTTTTGTAGGAAACAGAGATTATATTCAGTATTCGTTAAATTTTAGGACTTACCTGAGCTGCGTATGATGAACTTTCAGCAAGGAACTTTAGAAACTCTGCCTTTTTCCTATCGAAATTGAGCTTAGAATTGTTCAGTAATGCTTGTTCTCTCTTTATATCTTCAATCATCTTTTCCTTTTTCCACTTGAGCTCTTTCATCTGCCTCTCAGATTCAATGTAGCTTTCAGGCAGGCTTGATTTCATTGAGGCCTTCGGAAATCTCAACTGAACATCTTCCCTGATACCAAACATGAAAAAACTGAGATTAACACTGAATCAAATCCAACTTTCAATTGAACAACAAAAATAAGCCCACAAGCCATAGCAAAAATTCAATTTTTCTTTCTGAAAATGTAAAGCCAATCCTAGCATTATTGCATAGTTTTGCATCAAGGATTTTCAGGAAATGATAGATGACAGTGCTTAGTAGTTTTCACCGACAGCATAAAAAGCCAAAGAATTATCACTCGGAATCTAAACATTGGAGTAGCACAAAAATAGTAAGATGTTTTCTATAATTTGAGGATGGGAGTGAGTCCATGGACCAACCAATATATATCCAATTAGATTAATTGGCAAAAAGCAATTGACAAATAAAAAGAGAGATTAAACTCTAAAGCAAGGTCGACTAAATGATTCAGACAAACTTGAATTACAATTTTGAAAGAGAGCTTCATACTGATTGCCCAAGCAAAAAAGACCATTAGCCTTGATTATTCCTCCATCTAAAGAAAGTGCACCATCACTTATGCAAGGGAGAGCTTGTAGCATGTCAGCTCTTGTTTTATATACTTGAAGACGAGAAAAGAGAGAATAGAACAGCGTCTCCCTGAGACCATATCCATTGGCTGCAAAACAAAACAAGTGTGTGCTATCAATATTGATCATGTTAACAGCAAAGCCAACAAAGCCAGGTGGACACTCCCCGTTAGGTAATCTTGGCTTTAGAAGATCAAGCCTCCTTTGTGGGTCATTAGGAATAAAATCACCAGCATACGGTCTGCAAAATAAAGTATTTTTAGCGTTCTCATAGATTAAATCATACATAAATAAAATCTCTGAAGAATGTTTACAAACTTAAAACTCCATAATTTCAAACAGAGACAGCATATAAGAATAATGCCTCAAATGTTCAAGACAAATTACGAGAAACCGGCCATCCAAGTTCCTCCCAATTGAAGCACCAAGACCATGAAGGCCAGAACTTTTGTTTATGCAACCTTCCTTGTCGTATGTTTCTAACATCTTAACTCCATCATACGTTCTACAGACAATTGCCAGCATAGTTTCCATTCCCAGGTACTCAGAGAGCAGTCTGAAATTGAATTTTTTTTACATAAATCACGTAAGTGCAAAACTATTTATATCGTTTGTTTGATTTTGTAATATAATTGACTCTTAAAAGAACAAGCAATTCATAGCAGGAAGAACGGAAGGCACATCAAAATAAATATAGTTAGAAGAGAGGCCAGACATCAAAGAACATGCTAAAAGCACACCCATCTTCCACATCCACCTTTAATTGTTTAAGCTACTCTTCAAAAAATTTGACAACCAGAAACAAATAAGAAACTATCTTGATGCATTTTGGCCCACCAAAAGCTGTTTTACAGTATTTGAATGGTAACGGCTCAAGCCCACCACTAGTAAATATACATAAACGTGTGGGTTTATATCATTTCCTTTTGGATAGTTAACCTCAATACAATGTACCAAATGAGATGTAATACAAACTCAACAACCCCCAAAATAATCACATTCCCAAATAGATGGAGGAAAATGAAATAAAATAAATAAGACGACAGACAGACCTGCCAAGGTTATCATCATCAACTTTTCCAAGCCGAGCAACAATGCCCAATACATCCTTGGTCAACGTAATGTTGTAAGCCTGAATACCATGATGTGTGTTCAATCTACATATAATACCAGCAGCAGACTTTTCCTGCTGCATAATCTGTTCCATCGTTTCCTCTTCGCTTTGAGGATGGGAATGAACCTCGTTTTCAGCCACAGGTGTGCCAGAAGAATGATACTTGCCTAGAATAACGAAATGAAATTCTAAGTGGATATACAAAACAAAAGAAAAGGGAATACCAATAAGTTCTAACACACAAATAGTAAACAAAATACCTTGCAAATCGAGGATGGATTCGTCTAATTTTTTTTTCTGAGTGTTGAGAAATTTAATGTTATCCTCGTGCTGTTTTATTTTCATGCCAAACGTCTGTAAATCCTCTTCAAGTTTCTGCAGGAATCAAGAAAATGATGCATGAGACTCTTAATTCGCTAGCTAAAAGTATAAACAAACAAACCATTGTCAACCAAGAGACTAAAACATGAGATCCTACACATGCATTATTCATCCATACAACAGTAATCCGAAAACAAATTTGTGTTAAAAAAAAAAAAAAGCAAGAGATTGAAGGAGAAAAAGAAGGCCATATGAGAATGATGACACCTTGGAGAAGTTGAAGATGTATTCCGCATGCGTGAATCCCCCATTTTGCATATCACCGCTCATTACTAAAGACTTGTCGCTCTGATCGACTTGCATATACTGTGAAGAATCTTGAGCGGGCGATGTCGGAATCCGTATAGCCAGCTGCAAGAAAGAGTACAATTAGAAGCCAACGCAGTCGAGAAATTCAACGAACAGAAACTCTCCAGCTACAATTTCTTCAACAGAGATACAATAGGGAAAGAGAGATGCCTGCATATTGTTTTGTTGAAACATGGCCGGCTGCTGAAGTGAGTACAGAATTGACAAAATTGAGGTTAGATATGATTGGAAAATGCAAGAAATTGGCGTCAAGGCGCTAGGGATTTCAGAGAAGCGAGTCTTTCTCGGTGTTCTTCCTCCACCTCCTCGCTTCGCTCTGTGGAGGTCTGGTTCTTTACCAGTCCGGTCAAACGCCCAATTCGATTTTATGCTTCCTCAATTTCGTTCTTTTGTTTTTTTTTCAGTCATCCCTTTGTCGTAATGATCCAAATATTTTTTCTTTAAAATAAATTATAAAAATTGATAGCAGACTCATTTGTGAGCCCAAATCAAAACTACGAGACTTTATGTTTAAAATGGTCAATATCATACCATTGTTTAGAGTCATGTTCATCTAATATGGTATCAAAGTTATGCCAATAGAATCCTCAAATATCGAATAAACCTCGAATACTATCTTTATTAGCATGAAGTCATGTTCATCTGATATATATATATATAATTGTTACTATTTATTTTGCTTAATTTCAAAATTCAGTAATAAAAATTAATTTTTGTAAAGTTTTAAGGACGAATATAATATTTAAAAAATACAATTGTTCTTTCTACTTTACTTTCAAATTGGGATTCGAAAATCTAGCTCACGAAGAGTCATACCACAAGTCCCAATTTGGACGTGAAGCCTTAAATATTATGGTTAATTTTGGACTAAAATGACAAACTAAAGTTACAGAGAAAATTAGATGTGAAAGATACAAATAGACTCGACCTAAGCCAAAATTTAGATTAACATGTGAGGATCGAGCATGAAATCGAGGAGAAGAGAAGAATTTGGCTCAGAGCCTAGATGATGACGATGTTGATGGATATTTCTAAAAAATTTAAAAAAAACGAGACTTTTTAAATAACTTGAAGTATTTTATTATTATTATTATTATATTGATTAGGTTTATGTTGATTTATCCTTATGTCAAATTTATGGATACAAAGATAAAAATGTCTACCTATCAATAGAAATTTAATATCGAGATAATATGGATCTTATCCATATGGTTAAAAAACAACCTTATTTATTTATTTATTTATTTATTTTTATAATGTAATTTAAAAGGGATTTAGGATAAGGGCACAAGAAAAAGTAAAAAAGACAATTTTACCCTTTTGAAATTTTAAAAATCACAAGAAAAGCCCTTCATAAAAATTCTACAATATAAATGGATTTAAATAACCATTTGATTCACAAATCTCTAATATTTATCCAATTTCAATCCTTATATATTTTTTTATAAAAAAAATAATTTATTAAATGAACAAATCAAAACATTTCAAAGTGTAATAATTATCTGATGAAAATAAATTAAACAAAATTAAATGTAAATTTTGTGGTTAGTTGCCATTAAAAGTAGTTGAGATATCTTGTTTGTTTGTTAGGTAGCTAAAGTCCAAGAGCAACCCTCACCCAAATTATCATTATTTCACTAATAAAAAAATTATTTTTTTTTTAAATTATGAAATAATATAATTATACTGTTATAATTAAAATTAAAAAAAAATTAAAATATAAATATTTAAATCTTCGACGTCGAAAAAATAATTAATATCAAATGATTATCGAATGGAATCTGTATTTACAATGACTTATGATTTTAATTCTATTACTTAAATATTAATGAAATTAAATAAGGACGAGTAAATAAATTTAATTTTTTATTTAATATATATAAATATTTAATAATTAAACTATATTTAAGTTGATACGAATAAAAAATAATTTTTTTTTTTTTAATGATTAAACTAATTGATTATTTGGGACCAATGGAAGACTCAAAAAGACAGCCCAACTTCCACATATATCATATATTGCTTTGGGACCTAATTAGGTAATGTTTGTTTCCAAAGCAAATAAAAATTATGGAAAAATTAAAACTTTTTTTCTTCATTATATGAACATTTTCATTTTGCTTCTCCCATAAGGTGCTTTTGGTTTGTAATTGGATTTTAAAATTTTAATTATTATAGGTGTATATATAACTTTTTGAATTACAACTAATTAGCCGGAGCATAACTAAATGACTATATATCCATGTTCATAATTCAGTCTAGATTTTAGAATTTGAGTTCGACCCGTGATGAACCCTTGGGTTCTCTGGTATTTCCGTATAACTACTTTACTTGTTGGATTTTTTATGATTGAATCACTGAAAAATAATGTACACTTTGTTAGTATAGATAGTAACTACACAGTACTTAAAATATGTAACTCGCCAAGTTTTGGAATCTGGGTTCGGCCCCTGATGACTCTAGCATTCTTCAGTATGATTGAGTCACTAGAAAGGAGTGTACCCCTTATTAGTATGGACAATAACAATCAATTATTTAAATCATGTATTTACACAATGTTTAAGACATGTAACATGTCTTGTCCATAATTCATACCAAGTTTTGGAATCTGGGTTTAACCCTTAATGACCCGAGCTTTCTTTAGTATCTTTTGCAGTATGACCACACTACCTACTTGTCATACCAAGTTTTGGAATCTGGGTTTAACCCTTAATGACCCGAGCATTCTTCGGTATCTTCTGCAGTACGACCACACTACTTACTTGTCGAGTTTCTTGTCGTCTCGATTTATTTATGTACGTACACCTCCTTTACTGAAACGTTTAAATATTTAAAACCCAATAATAAGAGGTTAAGTAAAACAAAATTGAAATGATTAGGGCAAAGAATGAAGTAGGTGGTAGAAGGGTGGATGATTTTTCAAATTTAGGGTTCCTTTATGGAGAGGCAAGGCAAGGGATCGAGTCAGCTGGAAGTAGAGGGATGATATTAATTACTTATTTAAACCGCTCCCAATTGTGATATATGTGATCAGGTCCTTCAATATAAATACCATTGCCTTGCTTGCTACCCCTCATGAATCCTCTTATTTACTCCTCAAGTCCTCTCATTTCCCCTTATTTACACAATCAGCCTAGGTCAAGAACGATGCAATAATGGGGAAGAAAGGAGGAGGCAGCTGGTTCTTCGCCGTCCGGAAAGCTTTCAAGCCGCCGCCGCTCACCCTGCCTGAAACTAAGGTCAAAATTAAGCTTCTATGTCCATTAATGGCGACTGGATTTTGTTTTATTGAGTTAATTTATTGCAGAAATTTGAAGAAGATAATAGCTCTCCTGAGACGGCTGCAGATTATGAGAGGCAGAGCAATAATTCCACGCCATTAACGCCCGGTGATAGAAACCATGCCATCGCGGTTGCTGCTGCCACTGCTGCAGCGGCGGAGGCTGCGGTGGCGGCGGCTCAGGCGGCGGCGAAGGTTGTTCGTTTGGCTGGCTATGGCCGCCCGTACTCTAAGGAAGAAAGAGCTGCAACTGTTATTCAATCTTATTATAGGGGTCACTTGGTAAATATATATTTAACTTTTTTTTCTTTCATTCTTCCATTTTAAGAAATTAGGCTCAACATCATTCATTACCAACCAATTATAATTTTTTAAAATGATTTTTAAATATTATATTTTTATTAATTTAAATTAATAAAAAACTAAAATAAATTCTTTCAAATTTTTCAATAATATCTTTAAAATTTTTAAAATATAAAATTTATATAAAAAATATTAATAATTTATTATAAAAATAGCCTTTCATTTTCAATAAATTTTTTAAAATTTTATTAATATTCTTAAATCTTCAAGAGTATTCTTAATATACGCTCAAAAGCATTTGTTCCATTTTTTTTTTTTGTAGGCCCGATGCGCTTTGCGTGCATTGAAGGGTTTAGTGAGACTGCAAGCACTAGTTCGAGGCTACAACGTACGTAAACAAGCACAAATGACAATGCGATGCATGCAAGCATTAGTTCGAGTCCAAACTCGAGTTCGAGCCCGAAGGCTCCAACTAGCACACGACAAATTCCAAAGAAAAGTTGAAGACGTCGAATTAGAAGAAGAAGGATTCAAACAAAAACGTGAGAAATTAAAGATTCCCAACAAAAGATGTGAAATGGAAGCTAAAAGTTTGGAGAAAAATAGGAAACATGAACCCGGTCCGGTTTATGAAAGTGAAGGCCGGCGTACGACTCAATGGGGTTGGAGTTCGCTGGACCGATGGATGTCGTTTCAGCCTTACCACAATCAGGAAGACATGTCGGAGAAGACCGTTGAAATGAACTTGGATTCAGGCCCAAACTCGGCCCATATTCCGAGCTACATGGCCCCAACTCAGTCGGCCAAGGCTAAGGCCCGGAGGTTGAGTCAAGTCAAGCCGCAGAGCCCAGTTTTGAGCCCATCAATGAGGAAAGGTTGGGTTTCCGATTCGTCGAGTTCTACAGTGAACCAGGCCCAATACGGCCCAATAAGCAAGAATAATGGGAAAAGCACTCAATTCCATGATGGTGGGAATACAGGCCTCGGCCCAGATAACTACGTGGACGAAGATTGGGCCTTTCCCCTTGAAGTCCATGGTTGATGATGATTCGGTGAAAATGGGCCTCGTACTTCGGCCCATATTTGTTTGCAGAATGTTATTTATTGGCACTCAGTGCTTCTTTTGCCATTATTTCCATATTTGATTGATTGGTTTGATACAAAAACAAATCTTGCATCTCTCTCTCTCCTCTCTCTCTCTCTCTCTCTATATATATATATATATATATGTATACATATTTCTTTTTTTTGAAAAAAATGATTTTTTTGGTCCCGACGTTCTATTAATATTTGTTACAAACGTTAAATATTCTTGGTCGAGTTATTCAGTCATATGAACACTCCTATGAACCTTATCTTGTCTTGTTGTTGTCAGATTTAGACTAAGATTAAAATAATAATAATAATAAATATAGATTAAAAAAATATATATTTCTTTTATTAGAGATTTTTTTTTCTTGATTATAATTTTTTAATTTTTAAAAAATAATTATTTTATTTAAAATAAATTATGGATTTTGGGTTGGGTTTGACTTTATAAGAATAGATTTTTCAAACAAGTGGGTCATGAATCTAAATTTATTTAAATAAAAAAAAAATGAAATTGGTACAAAATTGGATCATTGTTCAATTCATCCATTTAATAACAAAAATAAATTCGTAGGCCTTCCGTCATTTATTCCATCGTCGGTGGGCGCCTTGCTTCTTCCCATTTTTAAAATTATATATTTCTAAATTATAATTTGAGAATATATATATATATATATATATATATATATATATATATATATATATTTAATTTAGTGCATAATTTTTTTATTTTAAAATATATCTTACAAATTATCTATTTTCTTTAAAATGTTACTCATTTGTAACCTATAGACTATATATTTTTTAGTTTAATAATAAGAGCGAAAATATATAAATTATTTTAAAAAAATAAAAATAAATGTAACTTCAACAATTAAAAAAAAAATTAATGATTGGCTGTCAATTTGTATTTTTTGATTGGTGACAAAATTTTTAAGATGAAAGGGATTCATTCTTATCCGAATATTTGTTAATCTATTTATTTATTTTTAACTAAAATTGACTTTCTATTTATTTAATTATGATAATAAAAATTTAACGATTTTGTACCTAATTTATGTGTTTTAATTAAAAAATTTAGTACAATATTAAATAAAAAGAAAAGATGTTTTAAGAAATTATAAATATAATATAGAGATAAAAATGAGTTATATATAATGTTTTTTTTTATATATAATATGTCATAACTAATTAAAAGTAATATGAAAATGGAAAAAATAAATAATTATATTGGAAATAATTTCTTTAAATGAGCTTTTAATTTTCGAATGTTTATATCACTATTGAGGCAGAGATGTTGACAGAAATAATGAGGCTGATTTTATTCATAAAGAAATTTAAATGAAAAAAAAATTGAATATTAAAAAAAAAAAACGTGAAAAAATAAGAGAAATAATTAAAAAAATGTTAAAATTAATAGATAAGAATTTTTCATGCAATAAATAAATCGTAAGTATTTTTATTGGTAATAAATTTTTTATATAAATAAGTATTTTTATTAGTAATGCTTATTTCACTTGATAATAATTTTATAAAGAGTCTCAATATATATATATATATATATATATATATATATATATATATATATATACATATAATATTGATTTTAAAGAATTTTATTGAATATTATAAAAATGTATAATAAATTTAATATTTCATAAATAAAAATATATATAATGTTTTAACATAATTTTAAAAATTTAAATTTTAATATTATGAAATGATTTTTTTTTTCGTATTTATTTATTTATTGTTTATTGTTTAATAAGAATATTGGAGAATTTCAAACTCTATTAAACGCTCAACCACCCCACTCACACAAGCTCACTCTCTTTCCTGGTCTCTACCCCATGTGGTCGGAGCCGCCCCACACACTGGAGCGGAGCTCTACGCCGTCGCTAGTTCTCTCTCGGCTTCCGCCAGAGCCACCGTGGATGCCGACACCGCCTCGTTTAACTTTGGCCTCCGTTCCCTTTTTGTGGGAGGAGGCGCCGGGTAAGCCCCGACCATTCGCTGGATCGGAAATTCCGTGGCTATCGCCGCCGCTGGGGGACCTTCCTCCGCCGCCTCGGCTGTTGAATGAAGCCATACAGAGCACTCTGCTGTCGCCCACGACCGTGCTCGACGGACCTGAAAGGGCTTATGGATCAAAAAGATGGGGTAGTTTCAGAATGTGTAAGGAGCTTGTCAGCGGCGGGAACGACTCTTTGGCCACCGGTGTCGACGGCGGCGGTGGTGGAAGCGGGAGGTTTGGAAAGAAAATAACTCCGTCACTGTCGGTTTCTTCTTACGGAAGATCACACTTCTTGGTAAGTCCAAATATTTCAACTTTTTTTTTTCTTTTCATAATAATATATATTTTTTTAAAAATGTGAGTAGGTAATATTTGTTTTGTTATGCTAAATATTTTAAATATTTTATAAATAATAATATATATATATATATATTAGTATTATTTTATTTATTTACCCTTAATCCGGGTTATTTTTCAATCTTTAACTTGAAAAATCGAACAATATCTATTATAACGACTTGACTGAATTACAGGTGAAGATTTATGAAAAATTTAAGCGGGTTTTCCAAGGGAGACGAAGGCAAAGATGATTAACTTCTATTTTAAAGTAACAATTAATTATAAGCGTATGACTGATTTTAGTTATATTATTTCTTTATGATCATAAATATATGTTAATAGGACATTAGTCATGTGTAATAAATGAAATTTGATTTCGCATCAGATTAATTAATGAAATTAGGGTAGTTGGTATGTTATATACTTTTGATTCTTCTTATGATATGGAGACTAATATATTATATATCATCGTCTCTAAATTAATAATAATTTAAACAAATTTGAGGTTTTTAAACAATTTATGCAAAATAAAATATAATACTTGAAGCCTTAACGATTTAATGACTTACGTAAGGTAATCTCTGTGAATTGATAGAGGAATATTGTCTTGAGAATTCACTTGTCGACTCAACCTAAGGTGGGACTTAATTATACCATGGTGGGGTGGCTCAGCAAGGTCGATATCTTCCCTACCGAGTCAATTTCCTTTAATTACAGTGATCTTGATGATATGTCCTAATTTTCTCGTGATGTCTAGTGCATAAATCTAATATCATGATGGATATGCTATTCCTAAAGAATTGGAAGATGCTTGGTTCAGTTCATGCATGAATCTAGAGCACCTATCACATTGGCTGACTTTGACACAAGATGTCGGACTATCATAATTAAACATAATCAACATGGCTCTACATTACTTTTGAGTGAGTTGAGACTTGAGGTTCGAGAAACTTTAGACATCTCCTCGTAGTCGACATTTCTAAGTGAAGTGAATTGACCTATCACATGGCATTTGGAGATGATTCAACTTACAAATTTAAAGTCGCTACAAAATTCAATTCGATTTGGTTCGATACTCAAACTGTGGAGGCGTTAGCTGAACCAATACCTGTTGGTTCAACTGGGCTTCAACCCAGGCATATTTTGTCATGTAGGGTAGCATGGGAGCATATTGGTATATTCCAAAGGCATATTTTGGTCCTATTGCTTAAATTTCTCTCCAAATCCACAATTTGAATTCATTTTCTCTCCCTCTTTTGGATTCCATCTTGCAAAGCAGCCAGCCATCTTATGAAGGCAACCTCCTCTGCCACAACTTCCCGGCAACTCGATTCCGAATTAGATCTAAAATTGACGGGTTAGTATAAGCTTATCCGTGCTATTTGGTTTCTTTCTTAGTAATAGATTTGGCCGACGCTAAACTTTCCATATGAATAGTTATGTTAGATTTAGCAAAATTCGAATATTTTACGTTATGTCATTGATGTCTTGACTAGATGAACCATAAAACGAATTTTAAACAGAGAATAATATATATGCATTTAGTGGTATAAGATGAACAAGATAAACAGTTTTATAGATTATACAGAAGATGGGAGGGTATACCAGGCTTTAACATTGGCCTTTTGTTGGATTCTCTCCTTTGTTGATATAATTTCTCAATATTGCAAGAGAATTCATTCCCCATCTTCACTTTGATGATTGGATCATTGCCTATCAGATAGCAAAGATGAACAGACCCTGCAACAAAGTTGAAGCAAAAAACAACCTTGAGACCTCTTATAGTTCGAGTTCAATGGAAGTAAAGGGCTATCGTTTTTTTAATCTTCGTGCGTGTCTAAACCAGCTCGAATGCACCTTAACTATTTTCAAACGACAAGGATTAGTTTCAATCCGTCTTCTAAGTTTTTTTATTATTTACATGACCGTTGTCGAGACAATCAGATAACTCACTTGTAAAAATTTAGAGTGTTTGAAGCGATTCTTCATGTAAGGGAGGGCCCAACTCGAGCTGGTTTCAAGCTTTTGAAGGTGTTCCAGAGATACTCGAACATGAAAAGAATCAGACCGAAGAGATACAGGAAGAAAAAATGCAGTCTCTCCAACAAGAAAGGTTGGGTGGAGACAGTGCTTCCTCCTCCTTCAGTTTTTAGTGTTATTAATGACATTCTCTCCTCCATCCACCCTGTTAGAAACAACAGATTTTTCAGCATTTCCAAGGAACTGTAACGGCCCAGACCCACCCACAGCTAGTAGATACTGTCCTCCTTGGACTTTTCTTTTTGGGTTTCTCCTCAAAGTTTTTAAAACGTGTTCGCTAAGGAAAGGTTTCCACACCCTTATAAAGAGTATTTCGTTCTCCTTTCTAACCGATGTGGGATCTCATAGGAACCAAAGAGAAAAAAGTTAGAATGCTAAAAGAAAAAAATGTTCACATGAGTTTTTCTTTGGCAAGTTTGTCCAGTCCTGTGGGCTCATCTTCGTTTCTGAAGCTCTGATTAAGTCAAGAAGAGCTTGATTTACCTGAACTTTCACACAAATAAAAATTGAAATGTCTATCAGTTTCTAGTGAAAAACACGGTTTTGATCGATTCTGATTAAGAAAAAGTTATACCTCTTCAGTTCTCTCTCGACTGACTAAATGACCTCCATGTAGATCTACCATTCTAGCAACAGGATAAAGCTTCTCTGCAAGTTTTCTAGCATAGTATATTTGAGCAATAACATCTTGCCTGATCATCGAAAACCAATCATCGTTTGTAAAATATGTCGATGCAGCAAATGTTAGATGATAGAAACATGTTTATGTTCATACAGATTTGGATGTCAGACATAAGTTTCGTAGTGATTAACCGACGTGATTGTTTACCTTCCGTGAATGACTGATACAAGAAATCCAGCAGATTGAAGGCATTCGATCTCTTTGTTCGTCACTTTATGCGTCCAGCATGCATTGACTTGACCCGCAAAACCATAATCAGTCTGCATTCCTGTTGCTGATATACCTTTAACATATTCCTGCAAATGATTGTTTCAAGTTCACTAAGGCTCTAAAGCTTAAAGTATGTACTTATGTGTATACGTATGTAATGATAGACCAGAGCTATTGAGGCATTGATATAAACAATCAACATATGAAGATAGTGTCATAGAATCAACTACACTTTAGTTCTTAATAAGTTTTTCAAACATTCAGAAGTCTCTCAATATATGCTCATGGTTTAAACAAAATCAATCCATTTTGGCAGAGTGCTATCTAGGCATTCATATTTTAACATGTTCAGGACGTGATTATTATTATTTTTTTAGTACAACAAAGTGGGGCATGTCGATTCGATCCTCCAACTTCAAGGAAAGGATTACATGTCGATCACGACCGACTTCGGCAATTTGAGAAGGGATTAGTTTTGCTCACGAGTTGAGACTCAATCAGACCCCTACTACAACAGCCATTGGTTCTTTGTTTTACTTATTCCTCTAAGTTAAAGTCATTTTCATAAGGAAGTTCAAAAGAATTTTCTTGTAAGAGGGTTCGTGGATGTCGGACTCCTCCTTTTCGTTCATGATTAGATTCCATACACGATGCTCATTGGCATAAACACTTGGCTATTGTCAGGTAATATCATGGTTTACTTTCGTTTCTGTGAACGTGGATATATATCGGTATCACCAAACATGTATGCATATGTTTGTGATGGAATGTTGTAAAGTTCCAAACTAGTTGACAAAGAAAACTATAACCCAACAAGGTAAGCTTCAGAATCCATAAAAAAAGACACTTCTAGCTCCATATTCCCTCCTTTTTGGGGAGGTTTCAAGAGGAGAGAGCAGCTAGAAAAGACGGAGTGGGAGCGGGAACAGGATACGAGCAGGTTTAATAAAAACCAGAATCCAACTAACAAGGTATACATAAAACCAGTCAAGAATGATCCTCCCATCATTACATACCCGATATAATACCGCTCTTCTTGTTTCAAATCCAACGAACTCCTCAAGATATTCCTGCACCACAAGATACAAATTTTGTTAAAACTATTCATCGACTCATCCTCATTTAAAGTCGGGTTGCAGATAACAGAAGACGAACATGATGATTAACTTTACCTTTGAATAGTGTGTATCCAAATCAACACTTGCTCTTTGTTCAGGAGTCTTGGCCTTTAAGAATCGGACTGCAATGTCGAATGTTTGCCTGTCAAGCTACAAGAATAATTTGTTCCTTAAGAACCAGCTCAACCACAACAGAACAGCATTTTGGTTGGATTCCTTAAAGTAATGTAATGTTTTCTGAAGATTATGTTACAAACAAGCAGCTAAGAGTGGCAGCACAAAATGTTTATTAAGGTACCTTGGGGCAACATTGAAAGCCTCCACCAGTGACATTGAGCATGGCCAATGACTTGACTCTTTCAGGCGCAATAGCAGCTAATTTGCAAGCTATCATACCTCCTATTGATAGAACAAAACATTAATAACTATATCTTGTTCATGAATCATTGAGCAGAGTTACAAACTCACTCACTCACCCATGGAATGACCAAAGATATGGACCTTTTCCCATCCCAAATGATCCAATAAGGCAATGGCATCCTGGGCCATTATCTTTGTTCTGCACAACCAAGAAGAAAAAAACAGGGGTTTATCCTTTTCTTTCTCTCTCGCTCAGGGTATTGGAAAATTGGCTTAAATCCTGAATTCTAATTGATTTCTCAAGACAAGCAACTAAGATAAGAGAGATTGAGAGAAGTGATTCATAAGTAATAGATTGTGGAACTCACGTATATTCAGATTTTTTGGTGGGGGCGGAGCTTCGGCCCATTCCCCGATTGTCAAATGCACAAACTTCGATCCCTCCGCCATCTTCGAAGCTGGCTTCTTCGCCGTCGCCCGCCGCAATCTGGTTACCGACGGTGTTCCGATTGCCGTGGTCATTCGGCACATCGGTGCCTGTAAGCCCTTTGATTTGGGGGTTCCATGAATCGTGGGTTCCGGCCAATCCTATCCATTATTGATTCATCCATTTAAGAGCTATCAGAATGAAATTCGAAAAAAGCAGAAATCGAAAAGGGAAAAACAGAAAAATGGAACAATCTTGAAGAGACCTATTATGAGGAGGACCTTGGTTGATCCGCGTCCGTAAGTTCTGTAGAAAATTTTGATTGCGGTGTTGATCTTGGCGTCCTCCGCGCCTGTGGTGCTGGTGTTAATCTCAATGAACGGCATATTTGGAAGCAGATGAAGAAGACGAAGAAGAAAATTGGGGATTTTGGAAATTGGATTGTGGAAGAACCCGAAGAGGGTATTGAGTGGTTGGCGCGAACACGCGGCGGATACATATTGGGAACCAATCAAGAAGGTCGGTAAACAGCCAAAGGTCAAACGGACGGTGGCGGAGCTTCATTTCCCTTTTGACTTA